CCCTGTGTTTGCCATCCAGCCCGGGGACCTGTCCACCCTGAGGGGGTCCTGTGCTGCTGGGCACCTGTCCGGGGGGCTGAGGGCTTGGTGGTTTCATCTTCACATGCCTGAGACAGATTCTGAGCCCTCCCCGAGCCGGGGCTGTCACTTTGCTCATCTGGTGAGCACTCCCAGAAAGAATGGGAGACTACCCTGGAAGTGTCGAGGGGAATGGAGGGAGGGTGGGGGCTCTGCTGGGGTCCACAGGTGATGTCCAGTGTCATCAGGGTGGCCTTGTGTCTTTGGGACTGTCAAGCCAGGTCTACTTTACTATAAATGGGGGTGAGGGGTGTCACAAGGATCCCTGGGGCTCCTGAGCCACAGGCATGAAAGCAGGAAAGCAAGGGACTTGGGAAAAGCATGCAGTGACTTGGGAAAACCTCTGGAATGGAAGGTCCAGGTCCTGCTTGGACCTTGAGTTCAAGCTTTTCATTTCTGGGAGAGTGGGATGTGTGTGGGCTGGTTGTGTGGGTCTCAGGATGGAAAAGCTGCTTCCCAGCCTCTCTGCCGAGTGTGTCTCTGCAGGGGCTCATTCAGGGGTGGCTTTGGACTTTCGGGAAGTGTTGAAGCTGAATGGCACCTGGGCTGTCCCGGGGGCCTCCTGGGAAGAGGTGAGCCGGGAAAAGGTTGGACTCCATGACCTTAGAGGTCTTTTCCCACCTTTTCCATGGTTCTGTGAGGTGACTGAGCCCGTTTCATGGCGATTTATGGATCAAACCCAAGGTGATGGATCCTGAGGCGCTGCCGGCCCCCTTGGGGCCCAGCCCGACAGGACCTGCCCACGGTGTCACACTGACCCCGACCCATCCCGCGACGCTGCTGTGTCCCCAGGGGGGACTGTCCCGGTGTGCGCAGGGGGAACACCGGCCCGGGGTGCGGCAGGGCCATCCGGGGGGGGCGCAGGGAGGGACACGGAGCCCGGGGCAGACGGAAACGTTTAAAGAGCGGCTGAGCATCCCGCGGCGGGGCTGGGCGGCAGCGGCGCCTGGGGAGCGCTGCGGGGCTCTGCGGAGCCGCTAATGGGCCGAGTCCATTTCAGAGGGATGACGCCACTTGGGTAAAGCGTTAAGAGCTCCGGGAAGGCAGCGCAGAGCGAGGGGGAGCGCGATGCTCCCGGGCAGCGCCAGGTCCCTCCCTCCTCCCTCCATCCCTCCTCCTCCTCCTCCCTCCGCCCAGCCTCCCGTTCCCACCGAGCGCGGGGCCCCCCCGCCGCTCCCGCTGCCCGCGGCGCGGGGCTCGGCTGCGGGGCCGGGGCTGCCCCGCTCCCGCCCCGGGGCTGCCCCCGCCGCGCTCGGGCTCCGCGGGCCGATGGACCGGCGGCGGCTGCGGGGTGAGTCCGCCCGGCGCGGACACGCGTGGGCTGCGGGGCGGCGGCGGAGCGCGGCGGGGGGACACGCGTGGGCCGAGCGGGAGGGCTCCTGGGCGCTCGTGAGCCGCTCCTGAAGGGACGCGGGTCCCTGGATGCGCACGGGCTGTGCGAAGGAGCTGCGGTTCCGTGCGGGTGGGTGTTGGGGTCCTGCACACGCGTGGGGTGCGCGCGGTGGGGCTGGGGCCGCCCGTGGGTCCGAGTCACGCGTGGGCTGTCCTGAGAGTTGTCCCGCACACGATGGGGCTGCGGGCGCGGCGGTGCCCGAGAGTCCCGGGACACGGGGGCTGCGTGTGCGTGGAGGGGCTGCGGGACCGCGCCGGGTGCGAGCCCCGCGTGGGCTGCGCGCTGAGCGGGACCGGGGGCTCAGCCTCCCCCCAGCACCCCGCTCCACCCCGCAGCACCCAGACAGGGCGAGGGGGTCCCTTTTCTCCCACCTGGCGCCCTGAGCCGCTTGCCCCCGTCTCGCAGCCACCTCCAGCCTGTAAATCATTTGCTTTTACGATCCTTCCTCTGGCCCATTATCACACGAACTTTATATGTTTGAGGCTGGTGGTGGCCATAAAGCTGGCCCGGTTTCCGGGGCTGGCATGCCCGCCTGGCAGGCAGGGTGTGAGGAGGAGGAGGAGGAGGCTGGGGGACGCTGCCCCAGGTCCCCCAGGCAGGCAGGTAGGCAGGGAGGGGTGCAGCAGAGCTCCGGGGTTGCTCGGCTCAGTGGGGCTGGGATATGGACTGATTGCAGCCCTGGAATCAGGCTGGAGCAGGGAGGGCTGGGAGGGAGTGGGGGGCACTGGGCTATTCCGGGGTGGGGGAGAAGGAAGAAGCGGGGTCCCAGCTCCAGTCATTCAGTCCCTCTGCAGGACCCACAGATGTTCTCTTCAGCTCCCCTTCGTTCCCACAGGGATGTTTACATCCCCCCAGTCAGTGAGCCTAGGTCCTTGTCTGATCCCTGCACCTTGCAATCACAGTTTTGGGGGCATTTGGGCCCTGGTCCAGTCTTGGGAGGGCTCCCAAGATCTATCTTTTTCAAGATGCTGTGTCTGAGCCCTGCCCCCAGATCTGGAGTGTCCGGCACGGCCGATGGTCAGCTCCTCTCTGGCTGTGTCCCCTGAGATCGGGTCCTCCTCACGTTGTCCCTCCCGCCCCAGCCTGGCTCAGGGGTCTCCTCACGCCTCTTGAGCTCCAGGTGCTCAGAGGATTTGGGCTGCCTGTGTTGGGCCAGCAGTCCCATTGGCTCTGTGGCTGCAGGACCCTCTGTGGGGTCTCTCCCTTTGGTGCTCCCCATGGTTGGAGGCCCCCAGGACCCTCACAGGGGTCATCTCAGTGGCCAAGTCTGAATGGCCAAGTACTGAGCCCGGGTGAGTGGGGATGGACACTTGGTGTGAGCAGCTGCTCCCAGGTGGAATCAGCATCGTTCTCTGAATGATCCCGTCCCGACAGGATCTGGGTCATGAGGGGTGTGGGAATGCTCCGAGGCTGCTCCCTGCTCCCCTCTGCACAGTCCCAGCTGCAGGCTGAGATGGGCCCTCCCTCTTCAGGGGCCTGCTGGGGCTTCACGTCCCCAGCCTGTGCTTTAGTAAGACCCTCCCAGGTGAGGAGCTCGGTGACAGCAGGTGACAGCCACAAGAGCTTTGCCTCTGGCCTCTTCCCATCTCACAAACCTTCCCCGAGTCAGCCATGCCCTCCTAATTCCCCTTGGTACTGCTGTGAAAGAAAAGGGTACTCAAATCACCTGTGGGTGTCCTGGGTGAGCGACTCCTCACTGTCTGCATTTTCCCACACGGGGAATTGCATGGAGGAGGGAAACCCCCAAATCTGAGCAGATCAGTTTCCTTTTCTTTCCAGAGAGGGGGATGGGAGAGACGAGATCTTGCTTGAACAGTCAAAGTAAGTTGCCTTTGCTTTTCCCTGCTCCTCAAGGTCAGCCTAGCTAATGAAAATCAATCTTCCCTCTGCCTCTCTCTGCTGCATGAGCAGATTCTACCTGTGGCCCCTTCACCTACTTGAAAACGGCGGCTGCCCGGTTCTGCCGAGGGAGCTCCCTCCTGAGCGGCGGCTTCCTGCGGGCCCGGCAATGTCCGCGGCACGGGGGGATCACTCTGTGACCTGTCCCCTCTGTCCGGGGAAGTCGGCTGTGCACGGGCAGCACGGGGAGATCCCACGGGGAGATCTGGGCTGGACGTGGTGGGCTCTGGCATGCAGTGAATGATGTCCATCCGTCCTCTGGGCAGTCCCGGCAGCTCCGTGTGCGGGTGGCCGGAGCGGGAGCTTTGTGTCTGCCTCCCTCCCTCCCGGGGGCCGGGAGCTGTCCCGTGGCTCCCGTGCCCGCTGCTCCCTCCTCTCTCCTCTCCCAGCCCCACCGAGGGGTTTCTCTGGCGAGGTCTGGCAGATGAAGGTTTGGAGATGGAGCTGCTGCCATAGGGTCAAGCTTGCCAGGAAGGGGAGTGGTGGCACATGGAGCCCTCCCTGCCCCGTCCCACGGCCCTCAGCAGTGCTGCTGTTCCTGGGCACGGCAGGTTCTGCTGCCAGCGCTGCCACCCGGGAAGGGCCACGTCCTGAAAACAACAGCAAAGGGCACAGCAGGGTGGTGTGAGGGGCACCACAGGGCTTGCCTGTGCCAAGGCTGCCTTCCCTTGTGTCTGTGCCAGGTTTGAAGGGAAACCTGCCCTTCCCAATGCTCCTGATGGGGGCAAATTAGCTCCTGGGCTGGGGATGGGGTAGTGGGATGCTGCAGTCCGCCAGGACTTGGAGTCTGTGGGATAGTCCTGTCCTTGGCCAAACATAGGGCTCAATTTCATCCCTGGAAGTGTTAAAAAACGTGTGGATTTGGTCTTGAGAACATGGTTCAGTGGTGAACATGGTGGTGGTGGTGGTGCTGGGTTGATGGTTGGAGTTGGTGATCTTAGAGGGCTTTTCCAACTTCACTGATTCAGTGATTCTAATTTGTCACTGCTGCTGCCTTAGAGTTAGAGAATCTGTGTTCAGATTCCCCATCCCAGTGCCCCCAGTGTGTGCAGGGAATGGGAGCAGGAGGCTGCTCAGGGTGTGCTGGGAACCTCCAAAGCAGAGAGAGCCCCTGCTCTGAGGGATCCACCGTTCCCAGCTCTGTCATGCCTCTGGATCAGCCACTGCTTCCCATTTCCCCTCCTCCAGAGAGGGCCAGCACAGGTCCCTGGGGAAGGAGAAGGAGGTGCTAGTGAGGGGTGGGAAATCCTCTGGAAGGACACAAGAGGCTCAAAAGCATGGAGAGAGGCTGTGCCCGCCAGGGTCGAGGGGCAGATCCGACAGCCCTTCCTTTGGGATGTGTCCAGCCTAAATGTTCCCAGGCACAAAACTACTCTGGGTCTGATTGCTGGAAATCCTTTCATTTGGAGTTCTCCAGGCAGCCTTTGTGTCCTGCTTTGCTCTAGTGGAAGGTGTCCCTGCCCATGGCGAGGGGCTGCAATGAGATGGTCTTTGAGGTCCCTTCCGTCCCAAAGCAGTCTGTGATTCAATGATTTGGATAGACGTAACAGGGATATTTTCTCTCTTCCTGCCCCATCCTTTAGGATCTTTAGATGTGCCCTGATGCCGCAGGGTCTCCTGGCTCCTGGAAATGCAGCTCTCTTCCAGTGTGGCTGAACTCAGCTGTGACGAGACCATGGACCCACCTGCCGAGGACTTTCAGCAGGTCCTGTCCATCGACCAAATCCGCTCCATCCGTGCCAGCAACAACTACGTGGAGAGACCGGCGGCGTGCTTCCAGCAAGCCCGCTCCAACCCCTCGCTGTCGCAGCCCCCGCACAAGCAGGAGTGGTCGCAGGACCGCCTGGCGTCTTCCACCTTCCAGGACCTGCACCGCAGCCACAGCCAGCAGCACCAGATGCCGCCCCTGCAGCCGCACCTGAGCCACTCGAGCACGGCCAGCTCGGTGTCGCAGAGCACCACGGCCTCCGAGCAGCGCCTGCTGAGCAGCCTGACGCCGTCGCACTCCGGGCACTCGCTGGTGCGGACGCAGCCCCGCGGGGCTGAGCTGAAGGCGGAGGAGTCCCCGCGGAAGGGCGCGGAGCCGCCGGCGGCGCACGGGCACCTGGTGCTGTGCGAGGCGTGCGGGCGCTGCCGCTGCCCGCGCTGCACGGCCGCCCGCAGCCTGCCCTCCTGCTGGCTCTGCAACCAGCGCTGCCTCTGCTCCGCCGAGAGCCTCCTCGACTACGGGACCTGCCTCTGCTGCGTCAAGGGGCTCTTCTACCACTGCTCCACCGACGACGAGGACACCTGCGCCGACGACCCCTGCTCCTGCGGGCCGGGCTCCTGCTGCGCCCGCTGGGCTGCCATGAGCGTCCTGTCCCTCCTCTTGCCCTGCCTCTGCTGCTACTTTCCCACCCTGGGGTGCCTCAAACTTTGCCAGCGGGGTTATGACGGCCTGAAACGCCCCGGCTGCCGCTGCCAGAGCCACACCAACACGGTCTGCAGAAAGATCTCCTCGGCCAGCGGCACGCCCTTCCCCAAAACGCTGGACAAGCCGGTATGACCCTCCCGAGGAGGAGAAGCGGGCTTTGCTCCTCTTCCTCCCCCTCCTCCTCTTCTCTCCTCCATCCCCCTCCTCCCTCGGCTCCCTCTGCTCTGCGGTGCCCCCCCCACTCCCCACCATCACCTTCCAGGATTGAGACGGGTGACCTGGGTATCCCCAGGCTTTGGGACGCCCTGGCTGGGTGGCCAGGGGAGCTGGCACTGAGCTGGGGGGTACCAGTGGTTTTGCACATACAGGAGAGGGACAGGAGAGGCAGAGCAAGCTGAGGGTGCCCTCCCTGGCTGTGTCCCACAGGGAAAGGTGACCCAGGGGGTCCTTGGGCTCTGCCCCCATGGCAAGGGTACCTGAGGCCTCTCAGGGCTCTGCTCTCCATAGTTTTAGGAGCTGCCCCACAGTGTGGTCCTTATCCGTGGGGGAGGAGACAGGTCAGTGCGTCCCTGTGCCAGAGTCCCTCGGGAGCCAGACCCCTTTCCCACTCTTTCTCCCTCTCCTGCACTTTCTGTGGGTGGCCTTTCATCCCTCAGGTGGCCACAGGTCCCTTTCCCCAAGGGGCTGGGGTGCCAAGGGGTCTCACCAGTGGCAGTGGCTTTCCTCCAGGCTTGGAAGCCACTGGGAGAAGCGAGCTCGCTCCAAAATGAGGTGGCACCGTGTTTTTCTATCTCAAAGAGGAAGAGAAGGTGTGGGAAGCTTTAGAAACCTTCTGGCAGGGGAAGGAGCTATCGGAGGCAGCCCAGCCCACTCTCTCCTGCCCGACTGCAGCAAGGGAAAGGTCCCCTCTGGGATTTGGCTGAGAACAAGGAGCTGCTTGGAAATTGCCATTCATTTCTCCAGGCCTTGGAGGGCTGCCTGAGGTGGGAGCTGCCGCCTGGCTCCATCCCACGACCCAGCAGATGCTACAGGCACCAGCTCCACGCTCGAACCCCGATCTGGTACCTTCCACCAGCACTGAATTCACTTTAAAAAACTACAGCAAAGCCAACTGTGAGCAGCCACCACTCCAGGGACTCCCCAGAAGGGCTTCTGTCACCTTGCCTTGGTCTGGAGGACATGGAGAGCAGGAGGGGGTGTCAAAGCTGGGGACCCCAACCTTCCCTCCCTGCCAAGTTTCCTTTGAGTCCTCACCTCACTGAGGGGGTTCTGCCACTCACTGACAGCTGGGAATGGGGCTGGAGCCAGCCTTGGGGCCAGCCCTGGAGCCAGCCCTGGGGCCATCTGCAGAGCAGAGGACGCTGCAATCCGAGTCAGGGCTCTGTGTTTCCTGCTGGGATGATGATTACCCCAACTGGTTGCTGTGGCTGGGGAACTCCAGGTGGCCCTGGGCTCAACCCCATGTCTGTGTAGTGCCAGCTCCTGGTTGTGACCCCGCTGGCATCAACTGGGGGAGTTTGGAGCCAGGAGGGCGTCCTGGAGCTCGGCTCTGCCTGCCTGTCCCCCTTCCCAGGGGTGTGAGCACGAGAGGAGGGAATGGTGCTCCTGGAGGAATATATGCAACACATCCCTTGGCTTCTCCAAGCCCCAGCTCCCAGGGCCCGTCCGTCGCCTCCTCCCAGCCGCCTCTTTCCGTAGAGTTCTGTGGATCTATTTTTGTAGATATAAATATAACGTTAGGATGGGTAGGTCTATTGCTAATAATATTCATGATACTGCTGTGAACGGTGCCAGGTACAAGGTTTGGCTTCCTGGTGCACTTGCACAGGCTGGAAAAGATGATTTCCCAGTCAGTTTATTGCTAATCCCAGACCTTTGGTTCCCAGGTTGTCGGGAGTGGGGGAAATGGAGGTGTACAGATTGTCTGGGGGTCTGCTCTGCAGGGACGGTGGGATTCAGTGCTGGCTGAGAGGGGAGGCAGAAGTGGAATCTCATTGTGGGACTCCTCTTTCCATCCATTCACTTTCTAAAAATCACCATGGATCCAAGCTCCCTCTGTTGCAGGGAAAAGTGGTTCCAGGGAGTGATTCATCCCGCTTGGAAGCATTATTCATCAAATCCTGTGCTGGCTGTGCCCGGCTCCCCTGACTCAAATGGCACCCAAACATTGAACTCCAGGCTCCATGGGGAAGGGGGGATGAATCCCATGCCTGGTGGGAGGTTTGTGCTGGAGAATGTTATGGACGTGAGTGAAATCCTCTCCCTGATTTCACCCAGAGCCCAAGGGGGGATGTGGAAGGATCTGTGGGTGTCTCAGGATGATGCTCTGGCATGCAGAGGGATCTCCTGGCATTAGGAAAAGAGAGAGCCCCATCTGGGCATGGTCCATCCTGGAATCATTTGGATTTTAAAGCCATGACCTTCCCAGAGGATGCCCTGTAGGTGTGTGAACCCCTCTAAGATCATTCCTGTGGCAGCAAATACAAAATGCATTGCTAATACATTTATCCTTATGCCAATAATTGCTTGGCTCCCTCACTTCCAAGTGATGTTGTGGGGAGACACTTCCTCCCAGAGTCTCCTTCCTTTGGAAGGCTCAGTTCACTCTTCTATTGGTGCTGATTAAACTCCTGCTTCATAAAAACCAGAGAGCATTTTTAGGGAGAAAAGGTCCCTTTTTCCCTGTGGGTTGGAGGAACTGTCTCCCTTGAATGAGAATGAGAAACAGTTCATTGAAACTTTTTAAAGAAAACTAATGAACAGAATTTTCCAACTTGCTCTACTTTGATTTTTTTTTTCCTCCTCCTTTTTAAACGGATCCCACTTGTAAATTTAGTTACCACCTCTGTATCTTTGCAATTCATTGCTTCCTCTCCTGATGGTGGAATGACTCAACATGTGAAGCTTCATCATTTTCACGGCCTCCCAAGTCATGCGAGCGCGGGGTGACCTCCCCCAGGTGCTGGAGCTGGGGGATGAGGAGAGGCTGCCCATGGATCAGCTCCCCAGAGCTCTGCTTGGCACAGAGCAGCAGCACAGTTACCTTCAGGAACTGGGGGGAGGCCAGGACTGCCAGGAGCCTCCACCTAATGGGCTTTTTCTGGGTCAGTGCAGAGGCTCCCTTCCTACCAGGGAATGGTGCCACAGCCTGGAGAGGGCTGAGGAGCACGGCCAGGGCTCCTCTCCATGAAATGACAAATCTGGGGGAGACATTTAATGAAATACTGGACATGTAGAAGGGGAGGGATTTAAAAGCTGTGGACATGGTTTAGTGATGGTTCACAATGCTGGGTTAATGTTTGGACTCAGTGGTCTTCGAGGGCTTTTCCACAGGAATGATTCCATGGTTCTAGGAAATGGAGAGGACGAGAGCCCCAGCTGGCACTGAGGGCACTGAGGGCTGTGGGACCAGAGCAGGGCTTTGTTTTCACCAAGGGCAGACACGAAAGCCATGTCCGGGACCTGCAGGGGCTGGAGCAGTTCAGCTTGCTGGTGTCTGTCCTGCTCATGGGGGCAGATGGCTTTGCTGGAATTCCTGCTGCCCACTCCAGCTGGGGGTCCTCAGTGCATTTCCCTTCCTTGCTCTCAGCAGGGAGGTGAGGTTGGGAAGCACCAAATCTGTCCAAGGAGAAGCACCCAAAGCTCCTGTTCACCGAGCTCATCTGTGGTGGGAAAGGCTATGGGCAGCCTCAGATTCTTTCCCTGAGCTTTTCCCAGCCTCCTTTGACCAGATCCATCCTGCTCCATCCCCAGCTTGGCTGCCAGGCTGTTTGGTTTGCCCACAGAGAGGGCCCCTGGTTGGGGTTGGGAGCCCCTTTCCTGCCCCACCCTCTGTGAGTCAGATCCCATCTGCTCGGGGTGTTTGTCTGCAGCTGCCTGTCCCAGCAGTTGGGCTTTCTCTCTGTCCTGACGTGTCTTTTTTGGTTTTCTTTTGGGAGCGTCACATGTGGAGCCCTCTGCTCTCCCACAGGATGGATCCGCATTGCGAGGGAGCGTTCCTGGGCTGCTCTCTTCCTTTTGCCAGGGAACATTTGCCCCCTTTGCAGGGCTGGGGGCAGATTGGAGCAGGGAAAGAGATTCAGGTGCCAAAGGAGCAGGAAGCAGGAGCTGCTGAGCAGGACCTGAGCTCCCCCTGCTCTGCTCCCCATCCAGAGCCTCCTTTTCCCACCCAGGAATCCAAAGCTCCATCCATGCAAGAACCTCTGATGCTTTTTGCTTCCTCCAAGGCTTCCCTTGGTCCCACTCCCCTTTTTCCCCACTGGCAAATCAGTCTCAGCAAAGGTGGGGAGGGGTTTTGGGGACCAGGCTGGAGTGTCCCTCCCATCCCACCCCCACCACTCCTGGTGGAACCTTGGGCTGTTGTCCACTCACCCTTGAGAAGCATCAGTGCCTCAAAGAGCAGGGGAAGCTCTTTGTGACTCAGAGATTCCCATAAAATCCCACTGAATTCACTCCTGCCCATCCCCAGGGGTGAACCCTGATGGAGGGAGGACAAATGCCATTGACCAAAAGATGCCAAAGCCTGGGATCAGAGATTAGGAACGGCTCTGAAGTGTGGTAGAGAGGGATGAGCCGGGTTTGAGGGGAGCTGCTGTGGGATTGGCACAGGAAAGGAGCCCACTGTGCCCTAAACTCCTGTTCCCAGCACTGCTGCTGTCACTCTTTCCTGGGCTGTTCCGAGGCTGGAGAAAGCTGGGAGTGCTCAGACACTGGGAGGACAAATGTTTGTGACAGGGATGTGATAAGGGCTGACCCCCAACCTGAAGCTCACTCTTGGTCTTTAACAGAATCCAGTTCAGGCTTGGCTCCTCCGAGGAACCCATGGAGCCCATGGGATGCTCCCTGATCCAGTTGGCTCAAACCACCCTGAGCTGGGACCTCCTGGGCTCAGCTGGCTTTGGGTGTTTCCCCATGCACACCAGAATCTCTTGCCAGCCCTCCTGGAGTCACACTGGGAGTGAAGCTGGGATCTGTTCTCCTGCTTGGGGTGGCGTTGCAGAAATATCTCCTGAGGACCCAATGCCGGGGTTCCTGTGAGGGGCACTGCAGGCAGGAGGGGTTTTGGATGGATGGGAAGGGCTCACAGCCCTCCAGGGCAGCGGGAATGTGCAAGGGAGGCTCTGGGTCCCTCT